AACATGCGATTTATTTCTCAGCTGTTTACCTTCACAGACATAACCGACTGTTTTTTGTAACTCATGTGTGTTTTTAACGTAAACTTGTTAAACGTGCTAATGTGAACTTAGTTTAGTACTCACATGCTGTGACAGCCACTTTCTGTTCTTGTGCTTCGGATGTGTGCACTCAGAAAACCGTATATCAGAAGTTTAAACTCATATGGTTTAAACAGCATGATTTCAGTGCGATAAACATGATAATCAGAACCAAAACAGATGTTTTTTTGCTGTAAAGGCGCAGCTCTATTCTGGAAAAGGGGCGGGGAGCAGCAGCTCATTTGCATTTAAAGAGACAGGCCTGAAAAACAGCGTGTTTCTGCTTCCACTCAAAATAGGCATTTTCAAAATGATATAATAAATGATCTGTGGGGTATTTTGAGCTGAAACTTCACAGACACATTCTGGGGACACCAGAGACGTATATTACATATTGTAAAAAGGGGCATAATATGTCTCCTTTAATGGAAAATTGCAGTATTTATTACAAATAATTTATCCTTGCACATTTTGTTATTTGTGTGCCCTTATAAACTTTAATCAAAAGCATTAATATCCCCTCCCCCTTACAATGACGTCTCATCTCTGATGATGTGTGAGTGTGAGGGCTGGGTAATTAGTTTGTCCAATGGCCAGATGTGTTGTAATCCCTTTCCTCCAGCAACTTGTCACTCACATGAAATGATCAACAATCCAATCAATTCCCGATGGACAAAAGTCCCACACTAATTTTTTTGGTCTTGTTTGAGATGCCCTTCACTCACATTTTATGTCATAATAGGGAGGAACAGTCAATCACAATCTCCAATAAATGCTGACTTGATAGGTTGCCTGAAAATAAAAATTCTGTCATCAGTTAAGCCCCGTTCAGACTACACGATTTTAGCACGATTTGCTTGACGTAGGGTGTCGTGGGGATTCGTATATGACAATGGCCGTCGGGACGCAAGATTCAATCGTTTCATCTCGTGTAGTGTGTCATAGTGCACGACAACCGATGCCATGTCTGCGACGCTTCACGACATCAACACAGAAAGTCTAGCATGTTTAATTTTTTTTCCGTCGTCCACGACGAGTTCTGTCACAGACACAGGCCAATAGGAGCAGAGAAGTGCATTCGTACATGCTTTCAAACATGCCGAAACGAAAGAGAGACAACGGTATCGGTCCTGCTAGGTGTAATTTTCACAATGGAGGAAATGTTCGTGGAGCTATGGCTACAATACTCCTGCATTTATGATGTTTTCTCGAGGGATTACCGCGACAGAGTGGAAAAGGCCAGTTAAAAACTATTTTACCTCAGTTCTCTTTGAGAGTCCTCTTCATGCAATCCAGATTTGTGTCCCTGTCTTTTCTGACGACAAGACAGGGCAGAACACGCTGTTTGCTAGCCATTGTTTGTTTACACTCATGTCACCATCTGTCTAGTCCCGCATTATCGATGACAAGCACGCACATCGTTAAAGACGGCAAATGAAGAATGTTCGGGTAGAAACGTGTAGTCTGACATGTTTCTTGTTCATGATACGACAAGATTTTAGGAGTCAAAATCGTGTAATCTGGAACAGTGACTGTCCTAACCGACAAAAAAATCGTGTCGTCTGAACCGGGCTTTACTCAGCCTCATGTCATTCCAAACCTGTATGACTTTCTTTCTTTTTTCTTTACACAAAGACATTTTGAAAAAAATATTCCATTGACTTTCACTATTTGGCCAAAAATCCCTGCAACATTTTTTCAAAATATCTTATTGATATATTTAACTTGTGTTCCATTGAGAAAAGAAAAATTACTGAAGAATGACTTAAGAATGAGTAAATGATGATAGTGTTTTCATTTTTTGGTGAACTGACCCTTTAAGGCAGGTGTGTCAAACTCAATTCCTGGAGGGCCGGAGCCCTGCAGAGTTTAGATTCAACCCTAATTAAACACACCTGATCCAACTAATTAAGTCCTTCAGGATTATTTGACATGGTAAAATAATACATGGTATGTGTGTTGGAGCAGGGTTGGAACAAAACTCTGCAGGGCTCCGGCCCTCCAGGATTTGAGTTTGACACCCCTGCTTTAAGGCTTTGTGTAAAAAGCATTGCAAAAGTCCATGTCACATTTAGGTACATTTTTCTGATGTAATAGTACTCCCCAAAAATTGTAAACACTGTGACTCTGAAACACATTTAAAACATTGCTCTGTTTGTTTGAGTGTTCTGACCAGCCTGACATGGCAACATCGACTCAACCAATGGCGAGACTTCTAGCTCTGCCAAGACCACCCTCTGTATTTTCAAGAGAATGTTTGCTTATGCACTGTAAAGGTCATACTTTGGTCAGGACCTAAAGGTCAGGTCTTTTTCATCTCTGCCTCCCTCTCTTCTCTCTCTCTCTCTTCTCTCTCTTCTCTCTCTGCTGGTTTAGAGCCACCAGGCCCCATTGACAACAGCAAGATTGCAGTAATGAAAGGCGGACATATCCAGCTTAAACAAGGTATGGACTGTGTGTGTATGCGTCAAACTAACATGTCTGTGACTCATCTTGTGTTTCAAAACCTTGTCTGACTCTGTGTCTGCATATGTGTGTTTGTATATTGTTCATTATCTATGGCTTGGTTTGCAGGCGCAGACTATGGGCAGATATCTGAAGAAACGTGGCAGTACTTGTTAAGTATTTATGGCGGTGGGCCAGAGATTGCAGTGCGGCAAACAATCAGCCCCCCAGACACTGACACGCATGGTGAGAGGAAGATAGAGGCAGAGACCAGAGCCCTCTGAAAGGGTAAGACACAGAGTAACCACAAAAAAGTATTTAAACACTAAGCCACACTTGTATGTACGTATGTGTTATGTGTACTGCTGTCCAAAAGTTTAGGGAAAGTAACGATTTTTTTTTTTAAGAATTCCGCAAATTATGTCATATATATACTGTATATACTTGTATTAAATTTGCCAAAAGTGACAGTTGTTTCAAAAGTTTACTTGCATTTGATAATATGATGTCATGCATCCCACAAGCTGTTCAATGTTACATTCATACACATTATATGATAATATTGATATTCGGCTGTCTTTCATTTTATAAATAAAAATGCAACTGCAATTCCCAACCGCTAGATGGCAATTGTAGCCCTACTGAGACATCCCTACTGGCAACGCGAGACATGAGAGTTAAGCCCCGTTCAGACTACACGATTTTAGCACGATTTGCTTGACGTAGGGTGTCGTGGGGATTCGTATATGACAATGGCCGTCGGGACGCAAGATTCAATCGTTTCATCTCGTGTAGTGTGTCATAGTGCACGACAACCGATGCCATGTCTGCGACGCTTCACGACATCAACACAGAAAGTCTAGCATGTTTAATTTTTTTTCCGTCGTCCACGACGAGTTCTGTCACAGACACAGGCCAATAGGAGCAGAGAAGTGCATTCGTACATGCTTTCAAACATGCCGAAACGAAAGAGAGACAACGGTATCGGTCCTGCTAGGTGTAATTTTCACAATGGAGGAAATGTTCGTGGAGCTATGGCTACAATACTCCTGCATTTATGATGTTTTCTCGAGGGATTACCGCGACAGAGTGGAAAAGGCCAGTTAAAAACTATTTTACCTCAGTTCTCTTTGAGAGTCCTCTTCATGCAATCCAGATTTGTGTCCCTGTTAGGTATTCTTTCTTTTTGGGCTTTTCTGACGACAAGACAGGGCAGAACACGCTGTTTGCTAGCCATTGTTTGTTTACACTCATGTCACCATCTGTCTAGTCCCGCATTATCGATGACAAGCACGCACATCGTTAAAGACGGCAAATGAAGAATGTTCGGGTAGAAACGTGTAGTCTGACATGTTTCTTGTTCATGATACGACAAGATTTTAGGAGTCAAAATCGTGTAATCTGGAACAGTGACTGTCCTAACCGACAAAAAAATCGTGTCGTCTGAACCGGGCTTTACTCAGCCTCATGTCATTCCAAACCTGTATGACTTTCTTTCTTTTTTCTTTACACAAAGACATTTTGAAAAAAATATTCCATTGACTTTCACTATTTGGCCAAAAATCCCTGCAACATTTTTTCAAAATATCTTATTGATATATTTAACTTGTGTTCCATTGAGAAAAGAAAAATTACTGAAGAATGACTTAAGAATGAGTAAATGATGATAGTGTTTTCATTTTTTGGTGAACTGACCCTTTAAGGCAGGTGTGTCAAACTCAATTCCTGGAGGGCCGGAGCCCTGCAGAGTTTAGATTCAACCCTAATTAAACACACCTGATCCAACTAATTAAGTCCTTCAGGATTATTTGACATGGTAAAATAATACATGGTATGTGTGTTGGAGCAGGGTTGGAACAAAACTCTGCAGGGCTCCGGCCCTCCAGGATTTGAGTTTGACACCCCTGCTTTAAGGCTTTGTGTAAAAAGCATTGCAAAAGTCCATGTCACATTTAGGTACATTTTTCTGATGTAATAGTACTCCCCAAAAATTGTAAACACTGTGACTCTGAAACACATTTAAAACATTGCTCTGTTTGTTTGAGTGTTCTGACCAGCCTGACATGGCAACATCGACTCAACCAATGGCGAGACTTCTAGCTCTGCCAAGACCACCCTCTGTATTTTCAAGAGAATGTTTGCTTATGCACTGTAAAGGTCATACTTTGGTCAGGACCTAAAGGTCAGGTCTTTTTCATCTCTGCCTCCCTCTCTTCTCTCTCTCTCTCTTCTCTCTCTTCTCTCTCTGCTGGTTTAGAGCCACCAGGCCCCATTGACAACAGCAAGATTGCAGTAATGAAAGGCGGACATATCCAGCTTAAACAAGGTATGGACTGTGTGTGTATGCGTCAAACTAACATGTCTGTGACTCATCTTGTGTTTCAAAACCTTGTCTGACTCTGTGTCTGCATATGTGTGTTTGTATATTGTTCATTATCTATGGCTTGGTTTGCAGGCGCAGACTATGGGCAGATATCTGAAGAAACGTGGCAGTACTTGTTAAGTATTTATGGCGGTGGGCCAGAGATTGCAGTGCGGCAAACCATCAGCCCCCCAGACAATGACACACATGGTGAAAGGAAGATAGAGGCAGAGACCAGAGCCCTCTGAAAGGGTAAGACACAGAGTAACCACAAAAAAGTATTTAAACACTAAGCCACACTTGTATGTACGTATGTGTTATGTGTACTGCTGTCCAAAAGTTTAGGGAAAGTAACGATTTTTTTTTTTAAGAATTCCGCAAATTATGTCATATATATACTGTATATACTTGTATTAAATTTGCCAAAAGTGACAGTAAAGACATTTATAATGTTACAAATTATTTCTATTTTATCATTTGTTTTCTTTTTAACTTTCATCAAAGAATCTTGATAATTGTTTCCACAAAAATATTAGGCAGCACAACTGTTTTCAACATTGATAATGACAATAAATGTTTCTTGATCCCTAAATCAGCATATTAGAATTATTTGAATGAACGGTAGTGAATTTCTTCGCATTCTATAAAATGTCAAACCAAGTATAATTTATTTGAAACAAACTGTGTTAGGCTTGATATGAGTAAAAAAAGATATGTTGTTCAAAATGAATACAAGTATTTAGCCACTTTTTGGTTTTCAAATGTTACAGAACGTGTGTGTAGCTGAAGCAGTGTATTACATCTACTCTTCTGGTTTACCTGTGTGAACTTGAGGGGAACCCTTTATACATCCTCTAGTCTGAGAAAGTGAAGTTAGGTCTGAGAAAAGCTCTAGAACCATTAATACTAGACATGTTTCATCAGCGTATGGTACAGACCGGTATGGTGTAGACTGGCTGATTCATCACTAAAGAAATACATCACACTTGTGTGTGTGTGTGTGTGTCATAAGAGAGTTACAGTGATTCTTCAATTATAGGGGCACTTCTACTACTTGAAATCCTGAACAATTAAAGATCTTCAACTTTGTTTCGTCTTCATTAAAATGTTTGTCACTAGATCTGATAAAGGTCGTGATTAACTTTCAGGTGGATTTTGGTATAATGTGTAATGTATTTTTTGATAGTGTGTGTGTGTGTGTGTGTGTGTGTGTGTGAGATGGTAACATGATTATAATGATTCACATTTTGGAAAATGTGTTGAGTAAGCTATGGACTTGACGTTAACTTGAACTAAAAAATAACAAAACTTAAAGGTGCAGTATGTAATATTTCTTTCTTTTCTCTTCTGTATTTATAAAGCACTTTCATCACAACTCACGGTTGACCCAAAGTGCTGTACAATACAACTAGAATCAGAGAAATTTGAAAACACAATATAAGGGAGCACAAGATAACACAAACACAATTATATAACTAGATAAAAGCTATTGACAATAGATGTTTTTTAAGCAGGGACTTAACAATTGGTAAAGAGGACGCAGTTCTAACAGAAATTGGTAATTTGTTCCATAGACTAGGACCAGCAACAGCGAAGGCTCGATCACCTCTGCAGTGGAACCTCGTTCTAGGAACAGAGAGGAGACCAAGATTACTAGATCTTAGGGACCGATTTGGTTTGTGAATGATATGATGGTGCTTGGTTATGTAGAGATTTAAAAACAAACGTTAAAATTTTTAAAACAATTCTAAATTTGATTGGTAGCCAGTTTAACGAAATAAGTATGGGAGTGATGTGATCGAACCTCCGTCTGCCTGTCAACATCCTTGCAGCAGCATTCTGAACCAGCTGTAGGTGCATTAAAGAGGACTGACTTATACCATAATATAGGGAATTATAGTAGTCTAGACTAGATAAAATAAACAAGTGAATAATCTGTTCAAACTGTTTTAAAGAGAGTAGAGATTTGATTTTCGATAACGAAAAAAACCACTGCACTAATTTGCTTTTCAAAACTCAGGCTACAATCAAAAAGAACACCAAGATTTTTGGCACAATATTGTATATAACAATAATAATATTGACAGCTAGCGGTTAAAAGGGTTACTGCAGTGAAAATTCAAAATATTGTTTCTCCCACCTCTCCTCCTCAGACGCAACAGACCAAAACAAAAACAGAAAACAAAAATTTTAAAAGTAGAATAACTGGCTTTAGCGTTGTTTTTCAGAGAAACGATTATGTGAACTTAGCATGCTTCCTAAATATCTGCGAATGCATTATGGTGTTCTTATGCTTTGGTACAGACCAAAAAATTACATACAGCACCTTTAAAAAAAAAAAGCTAAGAAAAATGAAAATAAACAGTCAGTTTGTTAATGACTCTCTCAGATCATCATAGTGTAAAAAATCTAAAATTAACATTGTGTTAAAAGGGAGGCCCACTGTCTTTGACTTAGAAAACTCCTAACATATACTACTAGTTATATACTATTATATATTATACATATACTACTTTAAAATTATGATTTTTTTTTTAATACAAATTTTTACGTGAGTTTTTTTTAATGTCCCCTAGGATGATTTTGATAGGAAAAAATATAAATAATGTTACTTTTTTCCTGTAAAATCATCCTAGGGGACAGAAAAGTTCTCAATAATAAAATAATCATATTATTTTAAATATGATAAAACCTTCAGTTGTTATTGATAGGTTTTCTTTGTTTCTTTGCTCTGCTGTAGGTAATGAAGACCCATGTGTGGATGACCGTTACGCACTGCGCTTACATTTCTGTCTCACAAGCACTTTGTGAGCTTTTCTGTGGATCTGCTAACTCTGACAGAGCTCTCCTAGTGTAGGAAGGGGTCTTATTTATTAAGTGAATAAATCTGTTATCAGACACGCACATAAAACATATTTAACATTCA